GATGACGATGATGATGATGATGATGATCATCATCATCATCATCATCATCATTATCATCATCATCATCATCATCATCATCATCATCATCATCATCATCATCATCATGGGAGGAGGGAGGGGGGAGGAGGAGTGAACGCGGAGCGCTGCATCGTCAAAGCAAGGACCCAACACCACAGGATGGCTGGAAATAAATGCATGTTTTGCGCTGGGCCCGCGAAAAAAACGACTCTGGGTAAAAAGCCGGCCCCAGAGATGGGTTCCAGCACTGCAGGGGGGGGGGCGCGCCACAACAAAAAACAAGTGGCACGCGCGCCTTGGCTCTTGCACCAAAGGAGCTGGGAGGGACAGGAGGCTTTCGCTCCCTTCCTCCAGGAGTTACTTCCGTGGCCGGGGGGAGGGGAGGACGAACGACGAACGAACGACGACGACGAAAATGAAGAGGTCCGAGCTCTAGAACACAGCTGTGCAACAGAATAAAGGGTTCCGTGGCCCAGGGGGGCTGCCCTGGGAAGCCTGGACGGAGGGGCCCTGGGAAGCCTGGACGGAGGGGTCCCAAGAAATCCCAAGAGCCTCCACGTGGAGTTGGCCCAGAGAAGCTGGGGGAGGCCCAGGGGATCCCAAGGGGTCCCAAGAGCCTCCACGGGGAGGTGGCCCAGAGAAGCGGGGGGAGGCCCAGGGGGTCCCAAGGGGTCCCAAGGGGAGAGCCCAGGGGGACGAACGAACGAACGAACGAAGCCGAAAATAAAGATGTCCGAGCTCTAGAGCACAGCTGTGCAAGAGAACAAAGGGTTCCGTGGCCCAGGGGGGGCTGCCCTGGGAAGCCTGGACGGAGGGGCCCTGGGAAGCCTGGACGGAGGGGTCCCAAGAAATCCCAAGAGCCTCCACGTGGAGGTGGCCCAGAGAAGCTGGGGGAGGCCCAGGGGATCCCAAGGGGTCCCAAGAGCCTCCACGGGGAGGTGGCCCAGAGAAGCGGGGGGAGGCCCAGGGGCTCCCAAGGGGTCCCAAGGAGAGGGCTCAGGGGGACGAAAGAACGAACGAACGACGACGAAAATAAAGATGTCCGAGCTCTAGAGCACAGCTGTGCAAGAGAATAAAGGCTTCGGCGGCCCAGTGGGGCTGCCCTGGGAGGCTCGGGGGAAGGACGGGTTCAGGGCCCAGGGAAGCAGGGGCAGGCCAGCGGGTGATCCTGGGAGGCTCGGGGGAGGGGGGGGTCCAGGGCCCGAGAGGGCCAGGGAGGACGACGAACCACGAACGAACGAACCACGAAAATAAAGGCTTCGGCGGCCCAGGGGGGCTGCCCTGGGAGGCCCGTGGGCAGGAGGGGTCGAGGGCTGAGGCAAGCAGGGGCAGGCCAGCGGGTGATCCTGAGAGGCCCGGGGGAGGGGGGGGTCCAGGGCCCGAGAGGGCCAGGGAGGACGACGAACCACGAACGAACGAACCACGAAAATAAAGGCTTCGGCGGCCCAGGGGGGCTGCCCTGGGAGGCTCGGGGGAAGGAGGGGTCGAGGGCTGAGGCAAAGCAGGGGCAGGCCAGCGGGTGATCCTGAGAGGCCCGGGGGAGGGGGGGGTCCAGGGCCCGAGAGGGCCAGGGAGGACGACGAACCACGAACGAACGAACCACGAAAATAAAGGCTTCGGCGGCCCAGGGGGGCTGCCCTGGGAGGCCCGTGGCAGGCCAGCGGGTGATTCTGGGAGGCTCGGGGGAGGGGGGGGTCCAGGGCCCGAGGTGGCCAGGGAGGACGACGAGCCACGAACGAACGAACCACGAAAATAAAGGCTTCGGCGGCCCAGAGGGGCTGCCCTGGGAGGCTCGGGGGAAGGAGGGGTCGAGGGCTGAGGCAAGCAGGGGCAGGCCAGCGGGTGATCCTGGAGGCCCGGGGGAGGGGGGGGTCCAGGGCCCGAGAGGGCCAGGGAGGACGACGAACCACGAACGAACGAACCACGAAAATAAAGGCTTCGGCGGCCCAGGGGGGCTGCCCTGGGAGGCCCGTGGGAAGGAGGGGTCCAGGGCCCAGGGAAGCAGGGGCAGGCCAGCGGGTGATCCTGGGAGGCCCGGGGGAGGGGGGGGGGGGTCCAGGGCCCGAGAGGGCAGGGAGGACGACGAACCACGAACGAACGAACCACGAAAAAAGGCTTCGGCGGCCAGGGGCTGCCCTGGGAGGCTCGGGGGAAGGAGGGGTCCAGGGCCCAGGGAAGCAAGGGGCAGGCCAGCGGGTGATCCTGGGAGGCCCGGGGGAGGGGGGGGGTCCAGGGCCCGAGTGGCCAGGGAGGACGACGAACCACGAACGAAAGAACACAAAATAAAGCTTCGCGGCCCAGGGGGGCTGTCCTGGGAGTCCCGGGGGGAGGGGTCCAGGGCCCAGGGAAGCAGGGGCAGGCCAGCGGGTGATCCTGGGAGGCTCGGGGGAGGGGGGGGTCCAGGGCCCGAGGGGCCAGGGAGACGACGAACCACGAACGAACGAACCACGAAAATAAAGGCTTCGGCGGCCCAGGGGGGCTGCCCTGGGAAGGCCGGGGCAGGAGGGGTCGAGGGCGGAGGCAAGCAGGGGCAGGCCAGCGGGTGATCCTGGGAGGCCCGGGGGAGGGGGGGGTCCAGGGCCCGAGAGGGCCAGGGAGGACGACGAACCACGAACGAACGAACCACGAAAATAAAGGCTTCGGCGGCCCAGGGGGGCCGCCCTGGGAGGCTCGGGGGCAGGAGGGGTCCAGGGCCCAGGGAAGCAGGGCAGGCCAGCGGGTGATCCTGGGAGGCCCCGGGGGGGGTCAGGGCCCGAGGTGGCCAGGCCAGAGGACGACTAACCACGAACGAACGAACCACGAAATAAAGGCTTCGGCGGCCCAGTGGGGCTGCCCTGGGAGGCTAGGGGGAAGGAGGGGTCCAGGGCCCAGGGAAGCAGGGGCAGGCCAGCGGGTGATCCTGGGAGGCCCGGGGAAGGGGGGGGGTCCAGGGCCCGAGAGGGCCAGGGAGGACGACGAACCACGAACGAACGAACAACGAAAATAAAGGCTTCGGCGGCCCAGGGGGGCTGCCCTGGGAGGCCCGTGGGCAGGAGGGGTCCAGGGCCCAGGGAAGCAGGGGCAGGCCAGCGGGTGATTCTGGGAGGCTCGGGGGAGGGGGGGGTCCAGGGCCCGAGGTGGCCAGGGAGGACGACGAACCACGAACGAACGAACCACGAAAATAAAGGCTTCGGCGGCCCAGGGGGGCTGCCCTGGGAGGCCCGGGGGAAGGAGGGGTCGAGGGCTGAGCAAGCAGGGGCAGGCCAGCGGGTGATCCTGAGAGGCCCGGGGGAGGGGGGGGTCCAGGGCCCGAGGTGGCCAGGGAGGACGACGAACCACGAACGAACGAACCACGAAAATAAAGGCTTCGGCGGCCCAGGGGGGCTGCCCTGGGAGGCCCGTGGGAAGGAGGGGTCGAGGGCTGAGGGAAGCAGGGGCAGGCCAGCGGGTGATCCTGAGAGGCCCGGGGGAGGGGGGGGTCCAGGGCCCGAGAGGGCCAGGGAGGACGACGAACCACGAACGAACGAACCACGAAAATAAAGGCTTCGGCGGCCCAGGGGGGCTGCCCTGGGAGGCTCGGGGAAGGAGGGGTCGAGGGCTGAGGGAAGCAGGGGCAGGCCAGCGGGTGATTCTGGGAGGCTCGGGGGAGGGGGGGGTCCAGGGCCCGAGGTGGCCAGGGAGGACGACGAACCACGAACGAACGAACCACGAAAATAAAGGCTTCGGCGGCCCAGGGGGGCTGCCCTGGGAGGCTCGGGGGAAGGAGGGGTTCAGGGCCCAGGGAAGCAGGGGCAGGCCAGCGGGTGATCCTGGGAGGCCCGGGGGAGGGGGGGGTCCAGGGCCCGAGAGGGCCAGGGAGGACGACGAACCACGAACGAACGAACCACGAAAATAAAGGCTTCGGCGGCCCAGGGGGGCTGCCCTGGGAGGCCCGTGGGCAGGAGGGGTCCAGGGCCCAGGGAAGCAGGGGCAGGCCAGCGGGTGATCCTGGGAGGCTCGGGGGAGGGGGGGGTCCAGGGCCCGAGGTGGCCAGGGAGGACGACGAACCACGAACGAACGAACCACGAAAATAAAGGCTTCGGCGGCCCAGGGGGGCTGCCCTGGGAGGCTCGGGGGAAGGAGGGGTCGAGGGCTGAGGCAAGCAGGGGCAGGCCAGCGGGTGATCCTGAGAGGCCCGGGGGAGGGGGGGGTCCAGGGCCCGAGAGGGCCAGGGAGGACGACGAACCACGAACGAACGAACCACGAAAATAAAGGCTTCGGCGGCCCAGGGGGGCTGCCCTGGGAGGCTCGGGGGAAGGAGGGGTCGAGGGCTGAGGCAAGCAGGGGCAGGCCAGCGGGTGATCCTGAGAGTCCCGGGGGAGGGGGGGGTCCAGGGCCCGAGAGGGCCAGGGAGGACGACGAACCACGAACGAACGAACCACGAAAATAAAGGCTTCGGCGGCCCAGGGGGGCTGCCCTGGGAGGCCCGTGGGGAGGAGAGGTCCAGGCCCCAGGGAAGCAGGGCAGGCCAGCGGGTGATTCTGGGAACTCCCGGGGGGGGTGCAGGGCCCGAGTGGCCAGGGGCAGGCCAGCGGGTAATCCTGGGAAGCTCGGGGGAGGGGGGGGGTCCAGGGCCCGAGAGGGCCAGGGAGGACGACGAACCACGAACGAACGAACCACGAAAATAAAGAGATCCGAGCTCTAGAGCACAGCTGTGCAAGAGAATAATACATTGTAAGCGAGGGTCGTTCCCACGTAAGGCGTGCTTGAAAAGGCTTCGTGTTCGGGATGTCGAGGGATTGAAGCGTCGCCTTTGATAAAGGCCAGCAGAAGGCTGGCAGAAAAACACGAGGGCGCTTCCCGCCAGCGGAATCTGGCGCAAGACTGGGGGAGGCCCGCGCAAGTAAAGCCAGAACCCCTTCCCAACAGAGGCCAACGCTGGGGTATAATACCCGGGGGTCCTGGGGTCGGCCACACATAGTTATCATCCCCACCCTCCTCTTCCTCCTCTCCGACGAGCCGGCAGGGATTTAGGTACTTTGGGGACCGCGCCAAAAACGGCATGTTTTTTATCCGTGTCCTCCGTATCACTTATGTCTCGAGGTTCCAAGGTGTCGGCTAATTTGCTTCCAAGCTCCGAACGGCTTCTTGGCATGCCACCGGATCCGCGACAGAAGCATTTCAATCCTCTCACGTCACAGCCCGCTGGATGGCCCGCAGATGGGAAGTTCTTCCCCCTGGGGCGAAACTCTGCCGTCAAGGCCGACTGGACGAAGGTTTGGGACTACATTCTCATTGCCAAGGAGTTCATGAGCAAAGTTCACCGGAAGTGCGACCCTCAGGTCCCGAGGATGGAGGCTGTGGAGGTCGTTGACGATGTCTTGAACAATATGGAGACGTTCGTTTTGACGACTATTTTCGTCCGTGGTTGGTCGCTCGGTTGGGCCAGGAATCTGATCGGATTCATCTTAAACAACGTCAGCACGGCCTCCTACGTCCGGCTCATAGCGGTCCAGGGTGGGCCAGTTTGTGAGGAGGAGGTGGCTTTCACAAAGATCTTGTTGCTCGAGCTCGGATTTTCAATTGTATTTGAAGATTCCGGCGGTCCAGAGGTTGAAGAGAGATACACGCTCAGGTGCAAATTAGACGGGGTTCAGGTCACGACACCTGCGATACCGTTCGAAGTTCTCGTCAAACAGTACCACTCGGTGAATCAGATCTATCATAACTTGCAACAGGATGTATCACCTTACTGGAGTAACAGCCGCGTGCCGAATTTGCAAAGACTTGCTGTTATATCTTGCGCAGAGATGTGGTTCATTGACGGCCACAGCAAGCGCCTGAACCCAGAGGAGGTCGACGAACACCATCCCGATGGCATGACCGTGAACGACAAGCTGAATTCGGAGATCATGCGGGCGCTGGAGGATGCAAGGACCCGCGCTGCAAGCAAGGGTTTCAGGCCAAATGAAGATTGGAGAAAGTCTGAGGGAGCAAACAAAGTTTACCAACAGTATTTCGATTTAACTTTAAGAACTCTGGCAAGTATGGGCATTACACCGACAGGATGAGGTGCAGAGGACAGCTTGAAGCCAGTGGCGGGTCTCCGGGTGGGCTGGCCTCCACCTGCGCTCCTGCTCCCGGCAGCCCAGCCCCGTGTGCGGCCCTGGCGGCCCCGTGCCCGTGCGTCGGCCGCCGCCGCCGCCCGCCCTGCGGCCGCGTCGCCCTGCAGTCGCACTGCGCTGCGCTGCGAGACTTGGCCTTCACAGCCTCACTGACGAACGAACAACACACACAACCATACCCATAAGGGCGGTCGTTGGGAGGAGGGCTCGCTGTGGGTATGGGTGCGGGTTGTCGGACCCTGGGGAACGCTCCCGTTCGAGCGGGGACCCCCATCCGACAACACGTACCCATAGCCCTCTCCGACCCCCCTATGGGTATGGGTGTGTGTTGTTGGTTCGTCACTCATGGCACCCAAGGTGCTCGAATGCTTTCGGCACGCGCGCGCCACGCCGCGCATGTCTGGACCCGGCCAGCTGTCTGGCAGGGGTTGTTGGACCCGTGTGACTGTCGGCAAACAAGTGCACGCGCATGGTATCGGTGGAACGGGGCTGACACGGGAGGCGATAGCGGCACTCCTTGGAATGGCTTCAACTCGTAGTTAAGAAACAGACGTGGGGCAGCGTCGTGTGCGAGATGCAGAGTCCAAGGGGGAACGATCGTTCTAGGTGGTAGATCTTTCCTCCTTTTCGCCGGGCTTGAGTCTACGTGGTGCCACCTACGTTGCACAAAGCTAGGCGGCGACGGCGAGCACGCAGCCGCCAGGCCGGCAGGCAGGCCCAGACCCCGGGCGGCGACGCGGCGACGGGGCGGCGGCGGCGAGCACGGAGCCCAAGCCCTTGTTCAGGGAAGGCGGTTTTTTCGGGCCTCGTCGTCGCGATTGGGAAAGGGGGCGATATTTGCTGCATGCAGCCGGTTTCGGCCCCACCGGTAGGGGCCCATTCCTCGATACATAGCCGCCTCCGGCCAAAGGGGACCGAACTAGAACCAACCGGCGCGACCGGCGCGACCGGCGCGACCGGCACCGGCGCGACCAGCGCGATTGCGACCGGCGCGACCGGCGCGACCGGCGCAACCGGCGCGACCGGCACCGGCGCGACCGGCGCGACCGGCGCGACCGGCACCGGCGACCGGCGCGACCGGCGCGACCGGCGCGACCGGCGCACCCGGCGCGACCGGCGCGACCGGCGCGACCGGCACAACCGGCTCGACCGGCGCGACCGGCACCGGCGCGACCGGCGCGACCGGCACGATCAGCACGACCGGCGCGACCGGCGCGACCGGCGCGCCCGGCGCGCCCGGTTGGGGGCCTCCGGGGGGCCTCTTGGGGCCATCTTGGGGCCTCTTGGTGCCTCCTGGGCGCTTCGGGGGGCCATCTTGGAGGGCATGGATCCAAGAAGAGGGGAGCTTTAATGAGCGCTGCTCCCTCGGAAGGGCAAAATGAGCCCAAAACCTTAGTAAAATCAATAATATTGCCTTGACGGGAGGGGGGAGCTTGCATGAGCGCTGCCCCCTCAGAAGGGCCAAATGGAGCCAAAACCGTAGTAAAATCAATGTTTTTGGCTTCAAGGAAGAGGAGGGTACCTTATCTCCGTCCCCCCGTCGGGGCCAGAATCCTCGTGAGGGGTGTCGTTTTTTAGCCCTCCGAGGAGTCGAAAAAGACCCCCCCGGCGACCCGCGGAACACCCCCTCCAGGCCCAGGGGGAGGGGGTAGGGGGAGGGGTAAACCCCTCCCCGAAGGGGAAGAAGGGGGGTTGAGGACAGAGAGAGCTCGCTGAACCACTCACGCCCAAAGGGCTGGTGGGATTTGAGGATGTCTCGAGCGAAACGCTTGTTTTTCAGAATTTGTTGAGGATGTCTCGAGCGAAACGCTTGTTTTGTGTTATAGATTGTCCTCTCCTGGGGGCCTGAATTCTGAGGATCTCTCAAGTGGATTCGTGCCCTGGTCTTGAGGATGCCTCGAGCGAGACGCTTGGTTTCACGCCTCCAGGTGGCCCAGACAGATGTCTAGCATGAGGATTTGTTGAGGATGTCTCGAACCAGAGGCTTGTTTTCACGTGTCCAGGTCGCCCAGGCGGATGTCTAGCATGAGCATTTGTTGAGGATGTCTCGAGCGAGACGCTTGTTTGCACGTGTCCAGGTTGCCCAGGCGGATGTCTAGCATGAGGATGTGCTGACAACGTCTTGAGCGAAACGCGTGTTTTCACGTGTCCAGGTCGCCCAGGCACAGCACAGCCCTCGGCACGGTACATCAATATCGATACCTTTAGCATTGCAGCCTGGCATGTTGCTTGGCACGTTCCGCGGAGCGTCCCGTGGCGAGTCCCCCTGGCACGTCGCGCGGTGCACGTCCATTGGCACGTTCCGTAGCGCGTCCCCTTGGCACGTCCCACGGTGCGTGCCCATGGCACGTCCCCTGGCACGTCCCCTGGCGCGTCCCTTGGGACGTTCCGCGGCGCGTCCTCTTGGCATGTTCCCTCTGTCGATTAGTTCTGGGGCAGCTACCATCTGCTCAGGCAGCTCGAGCTTACGATCCAGATCAGTTCGGTGAGGACTCGGATGCCAGGGAGGACTCGATCCACAACGCTATATCTATATCTATAGAGAGAGAGAGAGAGAGCACAATCGCGGCATGACGCATCGCAGTTCAGCACGGCCCAGCACAGCACAGCCGTCGGCACGGTACATCAATATCGATACACTCAACTATACACTTTGGCACGAGAGAGAGAGAGAGAGCACAATCGCGGCATGACGCATCGCAGTTCAGCACGGCCCAGCACAGCACAGCCGTCGGCACGGTACATCAATATCGATACACTCAACTATACACTTTGGCACGTTCCTTGGCGCGTTCCGTGGCGAGTCCACCTGGCACGTCGCGCGGCGCGTCCCATGGCACGTCCCTCGGCACGTCCATTGGCACGTTCCGTAGCGCGTCCCCTTGGCACGTCCCACGGTGCGTCCCCATGGCACGTCCCCTGGCACGTCGCCTGGCGCGTCCCTTGGGACGTTCCGCGGCGCGTCCTCTTGGCATGTTCCCTCTGTCGATTAATTCTGGGGCAGCTACCATCCTGAGCAGCTCGAGCTTACGCTCCAGATCAGTTCGGTGAGGACTCGGATGCCAGGGAGGACTCGATCCACAACGCTATATAGAAAACAATCGCGGCATGGCACATCGCAGTTCAGCACGGCGTAGCACAGCACAGCCCTCGGCACAGTACATCATCATCGATACATTTAGCATTGCATGTGCCCGTCGCCCAATCAGGTGTCTTTGAAATGTTACAATGCCTTACATTTCTATATTCCTTTCCGGGTTCGTGGGTCGATCATGTTCTACTGCGCTGTCCCAGCGCGTTGGGCTGCCACGAGGCAGATCCTGCAGGACCAAGATTCAGCTGCGCGTGAGAGCGACCCTTCGCCAAATTGACCTTTGGTGCGGGCCCACCAGGGCTCCCTCAGGCACTGGCCCACGCGCTTGGATCTGGCCCCCTCCCTCCCCCGCAGCCCCCCCCCCAAGCTGCACACCAAAGGTCACCCCTACCTGCAGGGCCACGCCCTCCGTGCCACCGAGAGCTCATGGCAGCGTCTCCTTTCCCGATCCGCCCCAGGTTCTCCAGACACACATACCGCTACCCTTGCCTCGTTTGCGCCTCGTTGGGCCTCCTGGGAGGCCCTCGTCGCCACCGCTGGATTCGCCTCGGGAGTCTGGTCAGAAGGCACCCCAGGAGAGGGCCATGAAGCATCGGTATCGATACCGTCTGGTGCCTCAAATATCTTGCATGCCTCGCCCTGATGAGATTGGTAAGAGCGGTTTTCACAATCGTTGGCCACGATATGTTGGGGGGTCACGGCATTGTTGTGAGGTGTACGTTGATTTACCTCTCTCCTTCTTGTTCTATCTTCGAGTCGGCGACTACGAGGCGTCGGCGACTACGAGGCGTAGCTCGCGACGCACACATTCGAGATCCGATGTCAAAAAGGTTGCTCCTAATGTGGTTTCCTCGCTCTCGGCCCTCCTTTCCCCCTCCTCCATTCCTGCCCCCGCGGCCTCTCGCGTTTAATTTTGACGAGGGCCGGCAGAAGTCTCCACGGGCATGCTCCCGCAGAAAGGCACTCGGGATTACACGCACGCCCGAGCTGCTCAAGCATGTCGTTTTCCCCGCCGCTGCGTTCGCAGAAAGGCACCCGGGGTTGCACGCACACCCGGGCTGCTGACGCAGTTTTTCTGTTTACTCGACGCTTCCGCGCGCCATCCGCTGCAGGGCGGGGTGCGGCCGGGGACTTTTCCAGCGCCTTCTGCATGCGACTTCCGCACGCAGTACCGCATCGTTTCCTCTTGCTCCTCCCGCGGCGGTGCGCGCCGGCGCAGCCGACGGGCCGGCCCGGCGATGCGTCGGCGACTACGAGGCGTAGCTCGCGACGCACACATTCGAGATCCGATGTCAAAAAGGTTGCTCCTGATGTGGTATCCTCGCTCTCGGCCCTCCTTTCCCCCTCCTCCATTCCTGCCCCCGCGGCCTCTCGTGTTCTTCATTTTGACTAAGGCCGGCAGGAGTCTGCCCGGGCATCCCCCCCGCAGAAAGGCACGACATCACGACATCACGTCCTCATGACACCTCCCATGGGGCACCTACATGGCAAGTGCGATCTCTGTGATGGTGTCGCAACCGACCTCACTTACACACTACACCACGCCGCACCGCACCGCACCGCACCGCACCACACCGCACCGCACACACACACGCACACACACACACACACACAACACACCACACCACACCACACACACGCACACACCACACCACACACCACGCCACACAACATCACGCCACATCACACCGTACCCCACACCACGCCACGCCACGCCACGAGATCATGACACCACCCACGGGACACGACGGGAGAGCGACATGACGACTGTGATGTCTGTGTTGATATCACAATCGACGCGCCGCTGGCGCAGCCGGCGCCGCTGGCGCAGCCGGCGCAGCCGGCGCAACCAGCGCGACCGGCGCGACCGGCGCGACCGGCGCAACCGGCGCAACCGGCGCGACCGGCGCAGCTGGCGCAGCCGGCGCGACCGGCGCGACCGGCGCGACCGGCGCGACCGGCGCGACCGGCGCAACCGGCGCGACCGGCGCAGCCGGCGCAACCGGCGCGACCGGCGCGACCGGCGCGACCGGCGCGACCGGCGCGACCGGCGCAACCGGCGCGACCGGCGCGACCGGCGCGACCGGCTCCGGTTCCAGATCAGCCTCTTCTCCCTCCGGCGCCGGGAGGCGCTGGGAAAATCAGCTACATGAGCTGATTCTCAAACCCCCCCTTTGTTTCCCCCCCTTTCGCCAGGCCCGAGTGATAGGCGCGTCCGGCTTCAGATGGTGCTCCGGGGCATGCGCCAGTTCGAGCTGACGCGTGCCCACACAATCTGGGCGCGAACGGGCAGGTGGAACACTTTCGCTCGGTTTTTCTTATTGGGAGGCTGCCCGCTACCTCACGATGGTAATGAAACCCGACGAAGCACACACGTCGACCCCCCAACCGACCCCACCGTACCGGAATAAAACGTGGCCTCAGCGGCCCCGAC